CGCCCCGCCCCTCCGCCCCGCCCCTCCGCCCCGCCCCTCCGCCCCGCCACCACACCACCGCACCGCCAGACTGCGCCACTGCCACTTACCGCTACCGCCACCTATACCGTCACGTAGGCCGCCACCGCGATCATCATCGCCACCTATCGCCACCGCCACCGACCGCCACCCACTGCCACCTACTGCCACCTACTGCCGGCGCGGATTCGAATCTAGATAGCAGATTCTTTATATTGAAATCTTGGCGGCTTCGTCTTTAGTCGGGACTAATCTTCCGGATCGCGAGCCGTTTTTCCAATATATCTCTGGATATTTCAAAAAATAGATTCTTTCTACAACAGCGGCTTCATATTTAGTCCGGATCAATCTTCCAAAATATCTGGCGTATTTCGAAGGTCGTGGTCTACGAAATATCCGAGATATTTTAGAAGAACGATTTTCAAAATATCCGGGATATTTCGGAAAAAAATGGTCTGGACGGAAGAGATAATTTCAGAAATTTATCATGTTTAATAGAGATCGATCTTCCAAAAGAATCGAAAAATTTTAGAAGATCGATCTAAGAAAATACGCACCAATAGAAAATAGAAGAAGATCGTAATATTTCATAGAATATATCTTTTCTTTCTTCAATTCAATCAAATCATCAAATAACGATAGAAATTATGAGATCTTTAAAATTCAATTGAATATTGATAAATTTTTAACAATTTCATAATAATATTCGATTATCTAAATTAGAATTGAATATTCGAAACTTCAAGTCTCTCAAATATTCTATATTAATCTATTGGAGAAGAAATCAATCAAATAGAGATTCGGAGAAATATTTCTTCTTTATCTCTCCATATGAAATATGAATAATTTTCCTTATAAATTCCATTCTAATCTCATATATATAAAAATATTATGGAAATTAAATATGTCAAGATATCTTTCTGAAATCTATAGATATATCCTTCTTTTCTTTAATTCGATCAATTATCTATCTTAAAATCATTTCTATCGAATTGAATGATATTTATGAAATTATCATTATTATATATATCTTTATATTATATGATTCCAACTAAAGAATGAGCTTAATAGAAATTAGAATTGATTCGTTGCCTACAAGAAAGAGAAAATCTATAATAAGAAATCCGATGATCAAATAATGAATATATTCGCGCGTGATACCCGCTGATCTATCAATATTTTAAAACCGCAAATGATATATAGATTCTGCAAGATTTTAGATCTTCGCCCCGGATCTTCATATTTCGCCCAACCACCATATGCACATTCAAAATGAAAGAAATAATTCGAAATCTTAGGAGATTTTCAATCATATAGCTCTTTGATTGCGCGGATCCCGGATCCAATCCAATCCTTCCGCCTCAATAATCTCTCTTGAATTATCTATACGGCGGTTCGGGAGAATATATGATTCTGGGAACAATTCTGGCTAATCTATAAATTCTATCTCGGATCTATAGATTTCGCCGAACAGCCGCGCTGATAATCAAAGAGAAATAAATCATGCGAGATAAGAAAGATTGCATATATAATCTGATGACCAATCAATATATAAGATTATATGGGATCAAAAACGATCAATCTAATAGATTCTGAATGATTTTCGATCTCCATTCCGGATCTGCCTCGAACCACCGCGCAGAAGAATGAGAGAGAAATGATTCGAAATCTCGAGAGATTTTGGATCGCGTAATTTCCATATCCAATCCAATCTTTCTATCTCATTTATCTCTATTGGATCATCTATTATTATCTACGTGCGGGCTCGGGAGAACGCATCTATCGCCATCAACGATCTCCCTATAAATTCTAAAAGATTTTGATTTCTGCGTCCCGGATCTATACGTTCCATCGAATATCCGCATAATGAATCAAAGAGAGATAAATCATGCGGAAAATCATTCCGGAGACGAGGGTCGTGCGACCAAAATTCTCGGATATTTTCTTTCGCTAGTTTTTCCGAAGAAAATGATCTCTCCGAGATTTTAAGATCACGAAAGAATCCGCAAAAAAAAATTAAAAAACGAATCGGAAAAATTAGATCGCACACGAAGAATATGACCCCCAAATGGCCGCACCATAATACTGAGAAATTAGAATTGGATCGAAAATCTATAAAATGAAATCTGCTGACCAAATAATATATAAAATCGTATAGAAAATCCGACAAAAATCATCATATTAAGACCTCATATAATATATATTCTATAAGATTTTAGATCCGAATCGCGGCGCGGATAACCAAAAAGAGAAATAATTCAAATCTTGGGAGGTTTTGATCGCACGACCTCCATATGTAGGCAGACCTTTAGATCTCATTCGTCTCATTCATATCTCTTAGGATATCTGCGCAGCGATTCGAGAGAACGAATATATTTCCGTGCATAGATACGACCGCCCTATAAATTCTTTAAGATTTTATTTCTCTATCCCAGCTCTAATAAATTATACGGAATATATAAAAAATCGTACGTGAATCCTGACGAATAATCAATATATGAATTCGCGTGGGACCAAAAACGGCCAACCTAATAGATTCTAAAAGATTTTAAATCTCCATCCCAAGTCTACACCGAGCCGCCGCGCAGACAGCCGAAATCTCGAGAAATTTCGGAATACGCCGCCCCCATATCCAAATCGATCTTTATATTTCATTTATCTGCATTGGGCTATCTGCGCGGCGGCTCGGGAGAGCGTATATATCTCCGTGAATAAATACGATCAATCTAGAAATTCTAAAAGATTCTAAATTTCCATCCCGAATCTATACGCGCAAATAAAAAGAGAGATATATTATACGGAAAAATATCTCCGGAAGCAAAGGCCGCGCGTCCAAAAATCTCTATCATTTTTGGTCGTCCTGCCCGCGTCAAAAATCTCGTAGATTTTAGAATCCTAGCTTTTCCGAAGAGCTTAGAATCTTGGAGATTTTAGAGGTCCTAGGGAGCCCGCAGAAGATATTTAAAGAATAACTAAAAAATCTAGCCCGCGCGCGATCGAAATAACCGCAAATAAAAGCGTTAGAAATATTAAAATATTTATATAATTAATATCTATATATATAGAATAAATTTGTAATCAATATAATCTCGTATATTTATAAAATCGAAAAGCACGATCGATCAATAATTCGACGACTAATATATCTCTTAAAAAATCATAATATCAGAATTCAAGAAGATCTAATAATCTCATGAGCTGATAATTTAGAATCTATCAATCTATTTTTTTTTATCTTATTAAGCATCTACCTTCTAATAACTCTCTCGAGCTATATTTCTAAAGATCTAATATTTTCTAAATATTATCTAATAATAATATATTAATATTAAAAATTCGGCGATCAAGCAATCGATAAAATGATTTAATCAATCACTTTATCGGCGGAGAAAATTACAATGTATGCATATTTATAAATATATAAATCAATCAGAACGACGCGCCGAAATATAGATAGATTGCCACGCCTATATCCTAATTATTTGCTCGCCATTCCGATTCGTCGACCAATTGACAGAGCTACGCTCCAAAAGGGTGGGGAGCGATACCTAGTCCAGACAGCCAGAGAGATGAAAGAGGCGGAGGGAAGGGGATAGGAGGCGCCTAAATATGCGAGTTTTCTATCGTCCCACTCGCACTCCGAGATTTTAGGCCTCGAGCCTTTCCTGAGAGCCTCGAGGATTTTAGAGTCCCTAGGGAGCCCGCAAGATAAAATTCATTATATACTGAGAAAACCTTCTCATTCCAAAATCTATAGAATATTCTTCTCTGCAATCCATCGAATCAAATGATATGTATACTGATATCCCGAACCTAATCTACAACGACAAGATCAAGTATATTCTTTTCCAGACCCCTGGGCGGATCTAGAAAGTAGAACCCCCTTAAGGGTTCCTAGGAATTACCCAATAGTGGTATAGGGTACCAAATTGGGGGTTCTACTGTCTAGATCCTCCCAGAATTCTGGGTATTTGACTAGCTTCCATGGATTCACGAAATCTATGTCTCCACTTAGGCGATTCGAGGATCCCGGCTTCAAAATAATCCGGAAAATATCTTCTTGGATAGGATTGACAACATGGGTTTAGGGTTAGGGTTTAGGGCGATCCATTATTGGCTCTCTGCATTTTGGGGCGCCTTGTCGCACCGCAACGACCTGCGATCATAATGTGAAACCTTCGAGTCCATGGAGAGCAGGCGTGGCAGCAGTCTTTCCGCTCGGAACCCCAAATGCCCCAACCAGGCGCTGATAACCTAGTTTCCATTTTCTTTTCCATTATCCCCCTGTATTACCCTTATAAGAAAGTAGTTTCCATTTTCTTTTCCATTAGCCCAATATCTAATTGAAGTATCCTAGTTAGGCTTTAGGTTTGAAGCTTTAGGGGAGCCCACTGCAATGCAGTTAGGTGCTACATATGCCCCGTGGCACCCGACAGAGGTATTTACGTTGGCCATGCACTCCGTCTCAGACACCTAAAGAATGATCAACCAGGGTGGTCTCCCACAATTGCAGGGAATACTGTCGGTCGCCATTGGGGCTTCTACAGTACTTCAGGATTTAGTGCTTTGGGTTACTTCCTAGATGGGGATCCATCCATACCATTGAGGAACTCCTGATGAACGGCTGCGAGTGTGAGCACACAGGTAAAGCCGATTTGGATTCCTACGCATCATCTTCTGACGGGGAAGCCATCTACACTCTGAACTCTGAAAACATCAACGTCTACAACCCTTCAGTCCTCACCTCCGCCTTCCTGGAACCGTGATAGGAATTGCAAAATCAGCAGGCTATCTGGTTTCAAGTCGGCACGACATAGAACCCTGAAGCCTAAACCCTAAACCCTAAAAAACAAACCCTAAACCCTTTGCAACAGGCTTCACGCACTTAAACCCTTCCCCATCTTCAAGATTGCTGCGCCGGCTGCTCTGGATGGAAGCCTTTTTAGCTCTGCTCGTCTATCTCCAGCCCTTCCTGCAGCAAGGAGACCTTATATGTTTGGGTTAGGGGAGACCCAAATAAATAGGACAGACCGGCTAGGAAACGCTTCGAAGCATTCC